ACCGGGTGTCAGGCTTTGTTTAAAAAATTCTCAACAAGGTCTCGTTTGATGGGATGTATGACAAAAGGAAAGAGGAGAAAGTTAACTCAGGTTTGCAGAGAAAGTTGGTGTTTACAATCATGAGCCGAATGATAGTTTTGTGTCTTGGAAAGTAAGTCTGGTGCAATATCAATACTGTGGCCAACCCCTAGAATCTACTGAAATCACACCGTCAAGATGATTCAGCAGTTTTCACACGTTCTGCCCACTCTTGGATAGGTACAAAATCCAAGGCACGTTGTAAAAGAAAATCATTAACTTGTATAGTTGTTTGGATTACAGTACAGGCAGGTCCAAAAAACTACCTCAACCTGGTTTAAAATTCACAAAAATGTGTTAGCCCCATAACAAGAAGTCCAGAGGAAGGGTAAACTCTAGGTGTCATCCGTGAGCATGCAAAACTTCTCTCATCTCCTTTTTCCACTATTGTGTACTGATGTCATCCTCAGGCTGGTGGAGATTCCACAGCAATTTCACACCTCACTGCGCAACAGGACAGTATCTCCTTGAATAAGAGAAGGCAGCTCTCTTCAAAGGCTCCTGAGAAGTGAGGGAAAGTCTCCCAGAAGTCCCCAGCAAAGTGCTTCCTTCTTAAGTGGCATTGGCTGGGGCTGGGTCACAACTCTTTATCCAGTGACTCCTATGCCAACCACAATGAAATTAACATGACTATGGCTGACCTAAACAAATTATGTAAAGTAAAACTGATGTTCGAAAGGCAATCATCTTCACTGCCGAAACCATAGTGAGAAAGTGATGGTTTTCTTTAAATTAGATGTTTCCAAACTTACATATGTAGAACAAGTGGAGTCTGATCAATTTCAATTTAATCTATTATTTATCCTAATTTGCATATGTAAACTTGTATGGCTATTGAAAGAATGCAAAAAGGAAAGAAAAGAGACCTAATAACTAGAACTCTTGATGAATCAAGAACTTGGTAAATCAAGCTGTAGTAGAAACCCCAGAGTTAAGAGACTTGATTAATATGAAATGTGTCCAAGTCATAGACGAAGCAGGTTTAAGTAGTTAACATGGGATCCATTTCCTGAAGTATAATCTAGACATGAGTAGAAATTCTGAAGACTTGAGAATGTCAGCAAACTGAAAAGCTTGTTTTCCGTGTGAACATTGAAAGATAATATCAACAGATTCTGAGAATACATTTTAGAATAAAATAACGAAGGGTATGTATCCAGAAGGAGGAACTATAATAGGGTCCAGATTACATCAGCTTTAAAGAAACAGGTATTTATTCATGTGATTTCCCACTTGAAATCTGAGATGAATGTCTAGAGTTTCAGGATCCAGTGGCTGGACAATGAAATCTTTCTATTACAAAGATTAGAAAACTAAAGTTTAGCGGCTCCAAATTTACTACAAGCCTAGTGTAGTAGGCTCTAAAATGCCCCCCAAAGATACACATGTCCTTATCTCTGGAACCTGAAAATATGTTACCTAATGGCAAAAAGGGCTTTGCGTATATGATTTAGTATGGATCATGAGATGGAAAGATTTTTCTGGATTGTCTGGGTAGACCAATGTAATCACAAAGTCTTTATAAGTGGGAAACGTGCAGGTCATAGTCAAAGAGATGTGAGAATAGAGTCATAGATCAAAGATTGAAAGAGGCTACACAGCTGGCTTTGAGGATGGAGGAGGAGGCTATGAGCCAAGAAATGCTAGAAGCTAGCAATAGGGAGAAAATGGACTTTCCTCTAAACCCTCAAAAAAAATGCAGGCCTGATGACACCTTGACCTCAGTCCATTGAGCCTGATTTTGAAATTCTGATCTCTAGAACTGTAAGAAAATAAGTTTGTGTTGCTTCAAGCCACAACATTTGCAGTATTTTGTTATAGCAGGATCAGAAAACGAATTGAGACATGATTTCTGTAATTCTCATCTTCTCTCTCCTGCAGTTTTCATCCTGTTTCTATTAGATTGTTCCTAGGGCACACCGATGTGCTGTTATTTCTGCCATCTCTAAGAAAATTCCCATTCAAATTCACTTTCTTTTCAAGTGACTGCTCAAATATCTGGTACTGTTTACAGCCAATTCTTTGAACGTTTTCTACACTTCTGTAACTAACTCTGCTCTTCCTATGCTTTTTTGCATGCACTCTATTCAGGCTCGTGCCTCCACCAGGCCATCAAAGTTAGTCTTGACTTTGTTATGGTCAAATGCCAATCCCAGTGGTCAACGTTGAGTTCCCATCTTACTTGTCCTTTTAGTAGCATTTGACTCTTTTCTCCTTAAAACAAGCTCTTCGTCTGTCTTCCAGGACAGAACAATCGCTCCCTTTGCCACATGCCATCCTAGCCACTCCTCAACATTCTTACCTGGTCCCTCTCCTCCTGCCCCAGCCTCTTGAGAATAGAATGCCTCATTCTGTTTCGTTTGTCCAAGCTCACTCATCAAATCTTATCTATGATTATATAATTTTAGGGCTTCAAGTGGCAACTATTTTCTGACAAATCTCAAATAGTTTTCTTTGGCCAATGCCCTCTCTGTAACCCCAGAATTATATGCCCAATGTCTACATGGCATCTTTACTTGGACACATAATGAAAACAGCATGACTGACCTAAACAAATTATTTAAAGTAAAACTGACGTTAGAAAGGCAACCATCTTAACCGCTTCTCAGACTTAACATGTCTAAGGTCGCACTCATGACCTTGCCACAAATAAGGTCCTCTTTGTGCTCCTCCCACATCCTCTTCATCTCAGCAAGGGTCACTCCTTCCATCCAGTTGCTTAACCCAAAATTTCTAGAGTCAACTTTTTCCCTCTAACTCCTCACTAGTTAATACACTAGGAAGCCTTGTTGACTCTACCCTAAAAATGTGACCCTATTCCCACAAATGTTCACCATCTTTACTGCTGGTAATGTGTTCCAAGCTTGCGTCATTTCTCAACTGAATTTTTGTATAGAGCCGTGAAAGGAAATACCTACACTTTATTTTTCAGTAGTGTCTTCCCACTGTAGCATCTAGTTAGCCTTTTAAAACATGTCATCTCCTATAGCTCCTCTGCTCAGAACTTGCAATCATTCTTTTTATTTTTATTTATTTATTTATTTTTGAGATAGGGTCTCACTCTGCTGCCCAGGCTGGAGTGCAGTGGTGTGATCTTGGCTCACTGCAACTCCGCCTCCCAGGTTCAAGTGTTTCTCCTGCCTCAGTCACCCAAGAGGCTATGATTACAGGTTCACGCCACCATGCTTAGCTAATTTTTGTATTTTTAGTGAAGATGGATCACTTGAGGCCAGGAGTTCAAGATCAGCCTCTTGGCCAGGCATTAGCCACCAGGCTGGACCTCAATCATTCTTCATTGTTCTCAGAATAAACAAGAAAGTTCTTTCAAAAGCCTGTAGAATAGAACCGCCTTGGCTGCTCTGAACCTTATCTTCTGGACTCTCTCCCTCACTCACAAATTTGTACCACATTAGCTATTTCCTGTCCTATTAATGTTGCAGGAACTCTCTTTCTTCACAGCCATAGCATTTCCTGTTTCATGTGTAGGAATTCTTTCCCCCAACCTCGTATCTGCATAGCTCACTCAAACTTTTGCATGAAAGTCACTTTCTCAGTGAAATCTTTTCTGGACAACCTATTTAAAATAACACATTACACTCCCAGTTCTCACTACCTGTTCTTCCTCTCTACTTGATTGTTCTCCAAGTTGTTGTCAAGAATTTAAAAAGATCTAGGATTTTAAGCTGAGTTGCAAGCTAATAAATCGGCTTGCCAGGCTTCATGGAAGCCGATAGAAGTCATGAAACTTCTGGGTCAGAGAAGGATAGTGTACTGCTCATGACAATATCTCTAATCAAAGTATCAGAATTTTTTTAATTATCATTTTAGAGACAAAGTCTAGCTTCGTTACCCAGGATACAGTACAGAAGTTACTCACAGTTATGATCATAGCACACTGCCAACTGAGACTCATGGGCTGAAGAAATCCTCTTGTCTCAGCCTCCCAAGTAACTGGGATTTCAGGCATATACCACCACGCTGGGCTTGTAAGATGGTTTTAGGTTGGGTTATTGAGTTCAAGTCCCAGAAAATGAAGTAAAGGACCCAGTTGTCCTTGCATACACAGCGGGTTGAGAGGCAGGAGAAAAACCTGGAGTTGAAAAGGCAGGAAGAACGGATGCCATTTGATTAGAGAAGGGTATGCGCTATTACGGAGCAGTGAATATGCCTTCCATTTCTTGGAGGGAATTACTACCTTTACAGGCCAACACTGTTCACTATACAAATTTCTCGAAAAAACAGGGTGGAATGAAGGGCAGTCAGCGTCACTGCTTATCAAATGTGCAGAACTGTGAGACACCATGCAGAATCAACTCTCTAAAAGAACTTACCAATTTCAAACTACACGTTTCCTACCAGGTTTATTTCATTCATGGTGTACTTCATCCACTAACCTATAAACCCAAGACTTTTTTATATCAATTTCATTTCACTTTTGTCTATCTTATTTATTGATAAAACAATATCTGGTGCACAATGGATATTCAATAAAGTTTTCCTGTATGAATAAACGAATAAATGGCACAATATGCAAGAATTAATACAAATGCCGAAACGTGGGTAGATGAGTAAAAAATGAATAAATTAATAAGACTTACTGCTTTACAACAAGTAAAATATAAATCTGGATGTTTTGAATAATATTTGATACCTTAAAAACATGTATGTTAAGTTTAAAAAAGGATACAATCTGAATGTTGAAGATGCTTTAAAGTTTGTAAATAAACATGCATTTATATATGCATTTATTATATATATTAAAAAATATGCATTTGTAAAGAAAAATCATGAAGGAAGATGCCCCAAATATTAAGTATTTTTGAATGGAAGAATTACAGGAGGTTTTTTTTGTTCTCTTTTACCTTTTATTTTCTAAATTTTCTGTAATGTCCATGTTATTTTAATAATCAGGAAAGTGAACATCATTATTTTGTAGTCTTTTATTTTATAACATGAAGGAAATGAAAAGCAAGCAACTGAAACTACACACACTGCTTCCTAATCTTCTCCACCAAATACAGAAATCCTCTCAGGTTGCCTAAAAGGAGAAAACTCTGGAGCAACACTCAACAGCTCAGGGTTAATATTCTTCAGAAAATGGATAATAAGGGTGGTCAACAGCACTGAAAGACAAAAAGGGATATTAACTGATTAACTCTTTACCCATGCTGTCATGGAGAGAGTGTTTCTCTGAAGACGCAGATAGCATGGGCTAAAATCTCTGAATTTACAACCACGTCCCTACTTGTACCGGGACCACATACAGATATGTTCCCTGTTCATGTGCAAACGGCACATGCATTCCCAATTTCCGCACTCACATGCACGTGAGTGCCAACATGACAAGCAATTGGATTTAGATTACAAAGTCTAAGAGAGGGTAAGAACTGCGGATGAAGGTCTTGGGTCCATTCCAACTCGGGTGGCCTTTGTCCTTGGAGCATGAGGACAGTGGCAGTGACGATTGCATTGCTATTTTCCACTCATTCATCCCACAAAGCACCCTCAACAATACGGGGTCCTTGCAATGAGAAACTTCTAATCTATGAAGGAGATAAGATGTGTCTCTAATAACCAGACCAGCAAAATGTGTTTGCTGTTTCCTTAGTTATAATTTATAATTACTTATGATTCAGTAATTATATTACTGTTCGTTTTCCCTTTTTCCATGTTCTTTTTTATTCAGTGTCATTAAAGAGTATCTCTAAGCAGTTAAATGTGACAGAAGCAATATTAACATAGGGCCTCAGAGATGAGTAAGATGAGACATTCACAGTCTCATGAGGCAGATCACAGATTACACTTAAAGCCTGTGAGTATAGAAAGGTGGTGTTCCACGTTTTTCTCATTGAAAATGTCTTTTCTTGGAAACCTGGTATGGTTTTACAAAAAGAAGAGGGACCTTTGGAATCTGCTTTGGAGACTGAGTCTTTATTTTCCGAACTAAAATGATATTTCTCCCTATTTCTAAACTTCCCTCCAAACTTCTCTCTGTTTGATTCCTCTTCTTTCTCGTCAACCCAAGATCCTGAAGTTGATCCTATGGAACGTTATGTTTGTGAATAAACTAAAGTCAAGGGATGTTGCATTCCCCAGAGGTGGACTTCAGATGGACAAAGATGACATTGGCATAAGAGTCTTGCCTTGAAGTTACAGAGAAACCCCAGAGGAGCTTACCATGGCGGAGGCCACTGGGGATACCTCAGTCACTAGCATTGAGGGCCTATTGATTTCATTTATTGTTCAGCTTGGTGAGATTATGTAGCTGAGGAAATGGGAGTTGTGAAGGTAAAGAAAGCCAAAGAAGACAAAAATTTGGAAGAAATAGTTGGTGTCTTGGAAAAGGAATGCCCAGTAAACAGAAATGTCACTGGACACTTGGGGGGGCCATGGAAGCAGGGCCCACTGTGACTTCCCTGTGATGTATGCACATTTGATTTCATGGACTAATGCTCTATATAAATATTAAAATTAAGTTTTACATTGCCTTGGTGTTGACATGAAGATGGACCCGGCTGGATTCATTATTATATATTCATCATTGTTATATTGTTTTTTTTCTTCTGACTTTAAAATAAATTAAAGCTAGAACATTACCATGGACCCCTGTTATGGGTCATAGACACTGTGCCTTCTATTCTAATAGGCAGTTGGGCCAAGTGCAGGGCCAGGCACAGGAAGTAAGGGCATTAAAAAGGTGGATTCACAATGGTGCCGACATCGGCAGCTTCACTTACAGACTCACATTCCTGTTGGGTCAGAGATTGAGCCTTGGAGAAAAACTATAGTCTGAGGACTCTAGGGAAGCTCCTGTTTCATACCTATTCCTGAAATCTGGGCTGCCTTCCTGATCTGGGGAAGAGGTGTTCCACTGTATGCCTGCATGTTACAGAAAACAGCCTGTGAAAGAACATGCAAGCACCACTTACAACTGTAACTTAGCATATCGGAAATTTCTGTTGAGGCCATCAATGGCTTTCATGTCCTCTGGAGTCAACTCAAAGTCAAAAACCTGAAAGGAAGAAAACACTCACATTAACCTTTCCCCAGGATAGCAGCTTCTTCCTGGGAGTACGAGGACTTTCCAGGGGCAGAGGCAAGGATGGCAATATGGGAAGCGTTACTGTCCTTGGCTGCTAGATGAGATCTCTTTCCCCTGAGATCTGCTAGTTCTCCATCCCACCTCCCTCCTGCTCTGCTCCACTTCTGCAAAGAAAGACAACGCATCAATCTAAGACATTTCTAGAGAATTGCTTGAGGATAAAAAAGAAATTCTTTATCCTAAACAAAGGCAAATCTGGACAAAATACCTGCTTCCTTGACTTGACCACACTTGGTCAGGATTTTCCTTCCTCACTTCCCCTGGAACTTGACCCAATCTTTGACTGAGCAAGTCTGGGAACACAAGACAACCTTGCTGCAAGAATCTGTTGGCTTAGAAAAGCCTTTCCTGATCAATTGTTTTACTATACCACTTGCTCATTGCAGGCCCCCAAAATATTATTTCCAGCTACTGCTAAGTAGTACCAAATACTACTTCCTTACAAAAAAAAAAAAAAAAAGAAAGAAAAATAAAACCTTTTTTTGGGGCCGGGCTCAGTGGCTCACGCCTGTAATCCCAGCACTTTGGGAGGCCGAGGCAGGTGGATCACGAGGTCAAGAGATCGAGACCATCCTGGCCAACATGATGAAACCCTGTCTCTACTAAAAATACAAAAAAATTAGCTGGGTGTGGTGCATGCCTGTAGTCCCAGCTACTCGGGAGGCTGAGGCAGGAGAATTGCTTGAACCCGGGAGATGGAGGTTGCAGTGAGCCGAGGTCACGCCACTGTACTCCAGCCTGGCGCCTGGTGACAGAGTGAGACTCTGTCTCAAAACAAAACACAACAAAACAAACGTTTTTTTGGTTGATATTTGAGACATATAGGTCTCATGTTCAAAGAGTTCTGCTTTTTAAATATATTTATCTTATTTAAGCCAAGAGTTGTTTTTATTTGAAAACACATAGACACATAACCCCTGATGAAAAATCCCTTAATAACAAAGGAAAGAGATATTTAGTTTAAAAAACATATTTCATACAGAAGACAATTTCATGGAAAACTCATGGCCTATCTATTTATCTATTTATCTATGATCTATATATCTATCTAATATATATATATCTTTTTTTTCTCTCTCTCTCTCTGCCTATATCTGTCCATTATCCACCTATCCACCCATACATCTATCCATCAGTGAGTCATCTTAAAATATATACTCCAGAAGTAATATGGTTGTCACAGGGATATGTCGTAACAAGTTAAATTAAAAAATAAAATAAGATTTTTTTCTGTATGGTAACAAGATTTAGAATTGCCTATTTGATTTTAGTATAACCTTAAAATTTTAATCTAGAGCTACACAGTTGTGAAACAAATACATTAGAAAGTATGCTTCAAATATCATCCTTTGTAAAAACTAGACTCGCGTTGACTTTTCTGCTGCCATCTTTAAATGGAAAACAGCTTACACAGTCTTTCAAAATTCTTTTAGATTTCAAAACAAAGTAAATTAAATGCCACTGATTGATCTAATGGATTGGAGTGTATATGTGGAAGACTCGGGCAAAATCTTTACTCATTTATTTACTATTAATAATTTGGTCAGTCTGTGAAATTATTCTTAGCTTCCTACCTGCCCAGGGCACTGCCAGAGGAAGGGTGATAAAAGATGACCCAGAAGGAGTCACTGCATTTAGAGTCTCACAGTCCAGAGAGCACACTGATATCTTAGCAAAAAATGTTAAGTTAAAAGGGAAAAAGACTCACTAACAGAACCATGCCAAGCACTGTTGTGGTGACAGATATGCTGGGGGTTATGTATGTATGATATGTAGCAAAGCAGGTAATCCTATTTTAGTTTGATCATAAAATACAAATAGAGGTTTGTCAGATACAGTTGTCAGATAGAGATGGTGAAGGAGAGAAATGAGGGTCTTTAAAGTTCTTTACCATGTAGAACTCCTGAAACTCATGAAAATGATGGAGTTGAAATTTGCTTAGTGTCACACAGTGAGTGAGTAGGAAAGCCAGCCCTAAAGGTGATAAACTTTAGGACTCTGAGTCCAGTGATCTCTCTTCCCATCATTCTATGCTGCCCTCCCCCTTAGCACAGAGGAGAGAAGCATGGGAATGAATGGCACGTGGAACATTCTCCCGTGGAAGAGAGATCACCCAGACCAACACCCACACCTCGCTTTGGAGCAATACCCCTTGACCTGTACCTGGAAGTTCTCTTTGATTCTCTTCTCAGAGAAGCTCTTGGCCAGGACCACCACCCCCCGCTGCAGCTGGTAGCGCAAGGCAACCTGGCCTGGGCTTCTATTGTGTTTCTTGGCAATGGATTTCAAGATTGGCTCCTCCAAGAGATATGGGCTATCTGGGTCAATCCTGGAGAAAAACAACAGATACGAAGGATGTAGATGAAAAATCCAGATTGTACTACCCCTTTTTCCCAAAGCCCCAGACAATGAGAGAAGAAGATACAATATAGTATGTTTCAAAGTGTCTCATAAACATTCAGAGAGATTTATTGGCAATTGAGGCAAACTGGAAACAACTAAACTGCCAGTCAGCAGGTGAATGGATAAACAGCTTGTGGTGTACATGTCCATACAATGGAATAGTTTCCAGCAGTAAAATGGAAAGAGCAGACACTTGCAACTACAGGAATGAATCTCACAGACAGGTTGAGCAAAAGAAGCTACACAAAAGAATTTATATGACTTCTTCATATGAAGTACTACAGCAGATAAAACTAATCTAAGACCAAAACATTAGGAACATAGTTGCCTAGAGGTGGGGAGGACTTGTCTCAGAAGGAACACAAATTAACGTTTTTGGGAGAAAGTTTCTATTTCATGACAATAATGTGGATTACAAAGTATATTCATTTATCAAAATTTTACAGCTAACATATATGTATTATAGTCTATGTAAATTTCACCTTAAAATCACTTTGAAATTGTATTTGCAGTGGGGTTGGGAGAAGATAGATATGCAAATGAAGGAATATTGGAGGGAAGGAATATTGGTGACACTGAAGCTCAGTGGTGTTACTTGGGAATTCACTACACCATTGTGTTCACTGTTCTGTGTTTGACTTTATCTATAATAAAATGCTAAAAATTTCTTAATCAATAGAGAAGCTGGTATAGATGAACTCTTTGATACTCTTACTACCAGTTTGGGTCTCTGTGAGATGCCAGGGCACTATAGGCAACTAGAACAATGTCCTTGGACTTGCAGAACTCCAGGAGTTTGCTCTGGTTGAGGTAAGGGTGACATTCCACCTGTAATTTTTCAAGACCAAAATGTGTCAGAATACATGAGCAAAAAACCATATGTAAATTTAAAAATGCTTTGAAGGAACATCTAGTACTATATTAGTATATGTGCTATATATTTCAGACTGATCATTTTCCCCAAGCACCTTCTGAAATGCCTTCACATTCCATCTGTGGTCATACTGATACAACTTACTTATTCTTTTTCTATTGCCACCTTTGGTTAACATCATTTGAACTCATGACGTCATTTGAACTTGTTGTGACATGTCTAAACAGGATCTAGTTAGAGGCATTCAATGTTTTAAAAAATCAAAATCTCTTGTGCCCAAATTATAGTCTCTAAGTGACATTTCTGCTGAGAGAAACCGAGATTTCTTAGAGAAATGGCTAATTCTAGTTCTGACTGGGGAAGCTACAAGTTCAGCCTAGAACAGCTCACATTCTAAATGGCAAAGAAGATAAAGACAATGAGGCAAGTCAAAGGAACAAGACACTCATTTGAAACAGCTCCTGCTCGTCAAAATGATGGCAAGTTGAGCATCAGAAAGAATAGTAACTAAATGGATGGGAAAGGACACATTTGTTAAAATTCGTGAGTTCAAATGACGTTAATCAAATGTGATCACATCTTTATCTCTAACTTTCAATTCACAGAAAGTATAAAAGGAACACGTTGAATTATATCACTGGATGAACCGGGATAGCCTATACCAAGGAAAACTTTACAGGAATAAAAGGCTTAATTTTTCCTTAGTAAATTGAAGGAAAAAAAGAAGCAGAGTGAGAATGAGAGCCATGGAAGAAGAGGAGGAAGAGAAGGTAGAAGAGCAGGAGGGGAAGAAGGAGGAAGAGAATTAAGAGAGGAAGACAGACGGGGAAGAGGAACAGGAAGAGGAGGAGGAGAGTAAAAAGAAGAAGAGAAGAAACTTTTTAAAAGAGTAATTTAGGAGAAATATCACCTAATTGCAATGTATGGGCCTCATTTTCACATCAATTTAAATGAATCAACTATAAAAATATGATTAAACTATATTTTAGCACTCATAATATTTAGTAATAACAAGAAATTATTTCTACAATTTCAAGTGGTATAAAAGTATTCTGGCAATGTATATTTAAAGATTTATAGATTTTTTAAATATTTTACAAAATATTTTCAGATAAAATGATATAATGTCTTCAAAATAATACAGAGGTAGAATTATCTACGTACCATGTTTGTCTGTCAGATAATTACTGCTTAAGTGTGCCGATGGGTACATAAGAAGAAAATGATTATAACATGAAGGAGTATTCAAAAAAATTGACTGAAAATGTGCATTATGAAGAAACTAAACATAGATTTCAAAAAGATTGCACCAAAATAAACTTGTACTAACTTGTTATGAAATGTCTAAACAAGATCTAGTTTGAGGCACTGAGAAAGGTAAGACATCAGTTTTTAAAAATCCCCTATCAGAGAAACACAAATTCTGCTAAATTGAAGTAGGAACAAAAATCAATTTTGCTGTGAATCATGGGTAGAAGAATGGTGAAATTATTGGCTCTTCACAAAAAGTTTATGCGCACAATGCCCCCAAAGAAATCAGAAGTTTACAAATAATTCATTTTAAGAAGGAACGAGATGATGCTGAAGATGCAGCCTGCAACAGCATATCATTCACATCAATTTGCAGGAAGAAAAAATGTATCTCACTAGTCCTCTAATTAAAGACCAATGATTAACAGCAGAAATGATGACCAACACCATAGATATCTCAACTGGTTCCGTTTACACGAAAATGACTGAAAAATTTAAGTTGAGTGAGCTTTCCAATTCATGGATGGCAAAATGGTTATGGCCAGATCAGCTACAGGCAGGAGCAAAGCTTTCAAAGCAAATTTTAAATAAGTGAGATCAAGATCCTGAAGCAGCTTCAAAGAATTGTAAAATGAAATGAAACATGCCTTTGCCAGTACAATCTTGCAGGCAAAGCAAAATCAAAGCAATGGCTACCAAGATGTGGAAATGGTCCAGCCAAAGCAAAAGGAGATTTGCCAAGAATAAAAGGTCATAGCAAGTTTTTTGGGATGCTCAGGACATTTTGCTTATTGACTTTCTGGAGGCCTAAAGAATAATAAAAACTGTTTTGAGAAAATTAGCCAAAATTTTAGTATGAAAGTCACCACAAAAAGCTTCACCAAAGATTCTTTTCTACCACATCAATACTCCTACTCATTTTTTTTCATCAAGCAAAGGCAATTTTACAAGAATTTTGACAGAAAAATCATTAGTCATTCACTTTACAGTCCTGATTTGGCTCCTCCTGAGTTATTTTGTGTCTCAATCTTCAAGAATCTTTAACAGAGACCCATTTTTTGTGGTTAATAAATTTGTATACATATAATCATCTGGTTTTAGAAATTATATATATATTCTATACAGAGAGAGACTATATATATAATTTTTAATGTTTTAATGGGTTTTTTAATGTTTTGATTTTCCACAAATATCCCTAAAAATATAAAACTAAGAGTGTAAATATTTGAACTGCTTTTTGTATAACTATCAAAATGGTCTAAACAAAGCTTTACATTTTACAATGTCACAAATAATGTTTGATATTTGGCTGTATTGGATGTTTCTTTAAAAATCATGTGTTTTAATTATGATTTATACACCTCCTCCTTCCCACTCCTTTCCTCTGATCTGGCTTTAGTGCTCACCACTCTGGAACATGCCACTAAATCCAGACACCCTTATCCTTCCCTGTTGGAGCGTTTGCTCACAGTAGGATCCACCTACGTGTGACTCAAGCCACGTCAACACCCTTCCTTTGGCTCCTGACACCACACTCTCCTGGTTGTCTCCACCTGTCTGGCAGCTCCTGTTCAATCTCCTCGCCAGTGCCCCTCTGCCTCATCCCCACTGGTCAACTTTTCTGCCTCTTCCTTTTCATTCCATGAACTTGTCCTAGGAGAGTTAACCCACGTCTGTGAGTTGTCACCATCTATAAAGCAACGATACCAAATATCTGTATTTCCACCTAGACCGCTCCCTGAGCTCCAGACCAAAGCTACCACCTCCCAGCTCTGCACCTCCACTTGGTTGCCTCACAGGAACTTCACACCCATCCCCAAAGAATCGAAGTCATGCTCTTCTACTCCACGCAAACTGCTTCTTCTCTGACGTTTTCTATTTCTGTATAAGGAACTGACATCTGCACAGGCCCTATAAAGCCAGAAACTTGGAAACATGATTGAGCAGCAGGTATGTGAAGAGCAGGAAGTCAGAGAAGGCCCTGGTGGGCTGAGGGCTCACCTGGTTGCAGGCGGGCTTGTACTTGAGCCCTGGCTTGTTGAGGATGAGCTCCAGCTGTTTGTGGTTGAAATTGGACACCCCGATGGACTTGGTTAAACCTGCGTCTTTGCACCTCTCCAGGGCCTGGAGAGGAAGGAAATGGGTGGTAGACCTCTAGTGCAGTTTGTCCATTTCATTTGTCATTGACTTTTTATAAACCGAAAATCTGATTTATGATATATTATAATTATAATGAATCAAACAGTTTTATCACTTGAATAAATTAATTTCAAATGCCCTTTCTTGTTCTGCATAAGTATTTATCTCCTTAATTCTATTACATGCACGCTCAGGACACCGAATACCGTAAACATAAAGCTGCTTTTAAATTTCCTCTTACCTATCCCACTCACTTCGACGGTACATATTTTGCTTTTAGGATGTAATAGTGTAAGGCCGTTGGCCCCACAGGGTCATGGGGTGTCCCTTATGCTGTGCTGAGGTGCAGGATCAGAGAAGTAAAGAGACAGGACACTGAAGAACTGGAGAAGAGCAGCTAGACTCGGGGGGCCACACCACCTATGAGCAGAAACAGGAAGGCCCCAAATGTCCAGAAGCGTCTGTATTTATCAGATACAAGCGGGGGAAGGGTCGTAAGTGAGGTCATCACCTATAGGCTTAGTGATAGGGCATATGTAATCACATAACAAGCAAGGGGGCCACCCCATTATGCCACCTGGGCAGAGAGGTGGGCCGTGCACAGTAGGGAGCTGGGCCATGCGCAGTAGTAGAGGGTCATGTATGTAAAAGAGGTCCACCCCCATTAGGTCACCAAGACAGGGGACGGACTGTGTGCAACAGGTGTCGTGTGCGACACTTCTTGTCTAGGGACTGGAGACTTCAAAGGATTTCTAATAGAAAGACACTGTAAGCCAGTGCAGTGGGAGCTGACAGAATTGTGCTCTTCTCTAAGATATTCATGGAAGGATGATTTGAGCCTGCACAGAAGCAAGATAAGACTGACAGGGTGTACAGCCGCCGTGACTGGTCACACCAGGGGGGTTCTTCTCCCTTGGTTACTTCCAGGATCTCAGGCCTGAGGCCGACTTTCCACAGGAACTGGATGCAAGGTACTACAACTCCTTTATCAGGAAGAGAGGCTCCTGCTCTAAGCCTGCCATACAGCGTCTACCCTTTCAGGCAGGGATGCCACCGCCTGGGTCTTTGGTTCTTGTTCTGGTCTGGCTGTTTTCCCATGTACTGCTTCTGTTCTGTGACTGCTCTAGGCATTCCTCCCACTACAAATACTATATGGTTACACAGAAGGATTCTATAAATCAGCACTAAATGTGTTGGTACAGCTCCGACTACAATACCCATATGGTTATACAGAAAGATTACATGGATCTAAGTGTGCTAGGTATAAGCACTAAGTATGATATATAAGCTAGATATATGTAAGCAGTAAGTTATACTTCAGGCACTAATTCCATAAACTAAAATGTGATTATATATAAAGGATTATATAAAGGAAATAGCTGAGTAACGACACTGTGAACTGAGATATTCTTCAGGCACTAATCGCGCCTGGGGTTTGCACGGCTCTCCTTCCTCGGTGCCCATGTGGGGGTTACACACACAATAGTTCTTTAACAAACTACACCACAGTCAAGTGCAAAAGAAACTCTCAGCTTTCCCTCTAGTAAAGGGTTTGTTGCTACCTCTTTCTACAGTGGTAAAAATAATTAAAAGGCATAGGTTTTGCAAGGGCAGATTCACTTCATAAGGGCGGCACCCTCTGCCCTCCTGCTGGGTCGGGCTGCAGCTGTCCCTCCTCTGTGATGCGGTTCTGTCCTGGGATAAAGCACTAACTCCTTTTGCACTTCTCTGTGCTGACTCCTCTTTAGGGCTCATGTCCTCAACCTGATCTCAGGGGTAACGGTGTTTCCATGGCTATGTAGAGCCATAGAAGTTAAAATTAAAATGGACCACAGAGGTCATCTCATTTCCCTCCCTCACTTCACAGATGAGAACACAGAGGTGCAGAGAAGTTCCACGTGTAAGGTCAGACAACTTCTGGAGCAAAACCCTATCTCTTCTGACCCCTCCTCCCGTGATTCCAACCTCACCACACTATGCGACCTGGTGTCTGCAGCAGAACATACCTCCCATGTGTCACGAAGGTCCACAGTATCAAAAATAATGTTTCCACTGGCATCCTTGGGCAGCAAGTCCTCCCCAGGCTGGAAAACAGAGGATAAAGAAGGTTTTCTGTGAGAATTCCCTTTCTGGTGCCTAAGGAGCTTAGCCACACCACTTTCAGGAGGCTGTGATTATTCATCTGAGCGTGCATCTGTGCATGTGTCTCTGCATAGGCAGATGTATGTATGCGTGTGTGCATGTGTGTGTGCCTGTGTGTACATGTGTGCATGAGTGCATGTGTGTGGATATGGATGTGTGTGGATGTGCATGTGTGTTGCATGTGTGGGGTGGTAAGAGAAGACATGGGAAAAGAGAAAGATCAGAACAATCTGAGAGACTGTAGTAAAACACTTTTTCTCCACAGTCACCTGCAGGCTCCTTCCCCCATACGCCCCCACACTTAACTAAGAATGCCTTCCCTACAATTGAAATTTATTTTATTTCCGAAGGACAGGCTGGTATAGAGGACAGCACTTACCATAACTATAGATCAGTGTGTTTAGCCTGTTTATGCTAACCCAACTCAGATAGTGAGGACGTCAGATGTGCTCAGCCAATGTCCACTGTGATGAGAGGCTGGATCAGTGAAGTGCAAAGGAGCCCCATTGTGCCACATGCACCATCCCAGGTACCTCTCTTTCCTGTGGACTGAGGGGTACATGTGGGAGAAACCCTCGCCATAAAGAGGTAGAGATTTCATGTTGTATCTCTGCAGCCTGTGGTAACCTAATAACTCAGAACCTACCCTCAGGGACACAAGCACTAAGCAGTGCAGGCCAACGCCCTCAACTCTCTAGCAGAGAGGAAGTGAGATCATTGAACCTGCATCTCACTTACGCCTGGGGGATGAGCACAGACAGAAAATTTCAATGTCACTCAGCTGTGAAGGAGACTCATGAATGATTTAGCAATTCTATGCACCTCACTCAAACCTGCCTCTCTCAGAAAGAATCCAGGAAATCAAGCTGGAATGAGACAATGGTGGTGCCAGTAACAGCGAAGGAACCATTTGGGGCATAAGAAGGGAAAACAAAAGCTGACCTTCATGGCCAATGGATTGTGGATAATGAAGAGATCCACATAGTCTAGTTGAAGTTTCTTCAGTGACCTTTCCAGGGCTGGGCGAACTAATTCTGGTCTAAAGAAAGTTGTCCAAAGCTGCAGTGAACAAAAGAAATAAAAAAGTAGCTATGGTTTCACACATTTGGGGACCAAAATTAAACATCACAGTTAGAAATTGACACTTGAGTAACAAAACACTGTTGTCTAAAACTAAAAGAGTTAGGGCTAAGTTTATGTTATTCCGTATACATTTCACCCTTGATGAGATGCTGAGATTTACTTCACTGACTGCAATGTAAAACAACGGTGAATAAAACTTGGCTGGAGCAGGAAAATCTGCTTTAATATATCAGGGGTTAATGGCATCATCCACTGAGAGCAGCCAAGAAACGGCAGGACGGGGGAATCGAATCTACTGTCCTGTCCAATGAATTCCTCAAAGCAATTCTGCTGAGGGATGCATTCCAAAAACAGGCTGTCGTCAAGGTCAGCATGCGTAGGATGCATCTCCAGAATCCGAAGCTTTGTTTACATTGGAAGAAAGGTTTTCCACTCTAGGAAAATGTTATCATATTCAGGAATGCAATGCTGAGTTGAAAAAGAAAAACGTATTTTCTAGTCTAGCTCCCTTTTCTGAATAACATCCCAACCTCACTTGATATGTCCTGAGAACAACTACTGAAGAATTAATGGAGTGGCCCCAGAGTGCCTTGGCTAATTCGCATAACAATTGCGTAAGTATTATCAATCTCATTTTATATATGAATAATATCTGCTTCTCAGAGACATTGAAGAGCCGTGTCCCGCCTTTCACACATTTCAGCACAAAGCTAGCCTTTTCTATGCTTTGACAATGTGCCTTCACAATATTAGGTAAGTACGTTGTTCAAACAGAGACCACATTGCTTTTCTAAATAACATATCTGAGCTGGCGGTGGCCTCTGGCGTCTGCACACACAGAACTTTCACCTTGGTGGTGTAGAATATGTCCTCTCTCTTCACAGTACCATCAGCAATCTTCTCCCGAATGGCCTTTCCAACCTCCTCCTCGTTTTGGTAGAAGTATGCAGCATCGATGTGACGGAAGCCCACATCAATAGCCACTTTGGTGGCTTCCCCAGCCTTGCTCTTGGGAGTCTGTGAAACAGGAGTAAGAGGAGTCAGTGACCTGCCTGGCTCAGAGAAAATCAGTGCATTTCCACGGTGGCATTTTCTTCTTTTTTTTTTTTTTTTTTCTCTTTTATTTTGGGTTCAGGGGCACCTGTTCAGGTTTGTTATATAGGTAAATTGTGTGTCACAGGGGTTTGATGTACAGATTATTTTGTCACCTGGGTAAGCATAGTACCTGACAGAGTTTTTCTGAGCCCCTCCCTCCTCCCACCTCCAACCTCAGATAGGCCCCAGTGCCTGTCGCCCCCTCCCAGTATCCATGTGTGTTGTTTAGCTCCCACATGTAAGTGAGAACATGTGGTATTTGGTTTTCTGCCTCTGGGCTAGTTTGGTTAGGCTAATGGCCTCCAACTTCATCCATGTTGCTGCAAAGGATGTGATCTAGTTCTTTTCTTTTTTGTTCTTTTCCATGGTGTTTATGTACCATGTTTTCTTTATCCAGTCTACCATGGACAGGCATTTAGGTTGAGCCCACGTCTTTGCTACCCAATAGCATTTTCACAGTTTCTGCTGGCTTTCTGCTCCCCTTTTGATCATGTGGGTTTCCATGGTAGACCTGCATACTCTGAGGACAGCAACTAAACAGCAAGTTTCTATTTCCAAATAAAGTAGTGGAATAAGCCTCACTCTGGAGCATGGATAAATTATATCTCAGTCAGTATAAATCAATTGTACAATAACAACCAACAGGAAGGCCAGGTGTGATGGCTCATGCCTGTAATTCCAGCACTTTGGGAGGCCGAGGCAGGTGGATCATGACGTCAGTAGTTCAAGACCAGGCTGGCCAAGATGGTGAAACCATCTACTCAAAATACAAAATTTAGCCAGGCATGGTGGCAGGCTCGTGAAGCTGAGGCAGAGAATTGCTTGAACCCAGGAGGAGGAGGTTGCAGTGAGCTGAGATTGTACCACTGCACTCCAGCCTGGGTGACAGAGCGAGACTCCATCTAAAAAATAATAATAGTCATAACAAACAGGAAAACTTCTGATACTGGGAGAAATTTTCTAAGGCACTCAATAGAAAAGACAGTTCAATTGATACATAAATACACACACACACACCATATATATATATATATATATATATATATATATATATATACACACACACACACACATATACAGCTGACCTTGAACAACACAGTCCCACATATACAAAAATTTTTCTCAATCAAAATTACACTAAGTGTGCCTGCTTCTCCTGCCTTCCTTCCCCCTCCTTCACCTCTTTTGCCTCTGCCACCCCAGGGACAGCAGCCCCAACCCTTCCACTTCCTCTTCCTTCTCAGCCTACACAGTGTGAAGGCAGCAAGGTTGAAGACCTTTGTAATGATCCGCTTCCACTTAATGAATAGCAAATAGATTGTCTCTTCCTTATGATTTTCTTATTAAGAGTTCCTTTATCCAGCTTACTGTATTATGAGAATACAGTGTACCATACGTATAACATGCAAAATAGGCGTTAATCAACTGTTCATGTTATTAGTAAGGGTTCCAGTCAATAGTTGGCCTGGCTTCACTCAGGACATGGACCTCGCCTCACCAAGCTGGTGTCGTGGCAAAGTTAGGACAATAACATGTACACACCCTGCCTCAAGTTTCAAACGGGCTAGTTTAAATCTGAGATTCTCACCTAGCAAGCTTCCTAGAACAGCACGACAAAAGACAGCACAACACACACGCAGGAACAAAAATTCTCATTCCTGCGTCACTTAAGATAAAAACACCAGTTAGAGTATTAAGAAAGCTTCTTTTTCATTTAGGGCACTTGAAATGTCTGAATATTAAACACATACACATATTACAATTTATTCTGGTAAATGGGGGGGTTATGGGAATCTTGTTCTAGTCTCTATGGCACTTTTCTATCTTTTCTAACAGTAATAAATGTTACATATAACCCACGTAAGACACACATTATGCCTAACAGATGAAACGGTAATCATGCCATTGAAAACCTGCTGACCCTTTCCTGCAGCTGTTATCTAGTGATACCTCATGATAGAGTTCTACCAAGATTGAGCCCATCCATTGGTCTCTCATTTAGGGGGCAATCCCTCTAAAGCAACCCATGACGCCTTCACATTACTGTAACCAGAGCGTGGCACTTCAAGTTCCCTGCAGGGAACTGAGTGGACAGGTGTCTGGTGCGTTGGGTGGGAAACACGACTGAGCCCTTACTGGGATCTTGTGCCTCCTAAGCCTTCCCATCCAATTACCTAACTTTGTGAATCACAGTGGCTCCTTACATGACAAAAGGCTTGGATGGTCAAAGCTCCCTGGCAAATATTTCCAGCCCCAGCAACCTCACAGCAAAGCTGCCAGCAAGTATTCATGCTGGCTTCCAGTTCCCTTTGGGCCCTTGGCCCTTCACGTTTCTAACCAAGAATGGAGCAGCTCTGAGCAGCCTGGAAGATGAGAGCAGCCTCAGCATGGGATTTTTTTTAATGTAAGAAATCATGAGTACTTACCAAAGACGGTTGTTAAATAAGATATTTTTTTCCATGCATTAAATAAGATAATGCATGGAAAACACTTAAAATATATGAAATCATTTGATATATGTTAGATCACAATAATAATAATGGTAATAATAATAAAAAGAATTTGCCAAAAAAATCAATCTCTAAACCCTCAGAGTCAACAACTTATCACCCTCTTAATGCAAAAAATGCAGGACCCTGCAACCCCCTGGGGTCCACTTACGTGTTCAGGAGCATAAGTGCCAAATCCTAGCACTGGCATGAAGTGTCCATCATTCAGCCTCACGGAATGGCTGTGCTTCAGATCCATCACTGCCCACAGCCCAGCTAACTGGACTCCGTCTTTCCTTCTGTATCCTCACTGAGAGTCCAGTAGGAGACAAGGCTGCCGCGTTCTTTATTTCCAACAAATACAAGATGGGTGGGGTGGAGATTACAGCTGCCTATGATTTCAAAATGAAGTTGAAATCAATCCATTGAGTTTTTTTCTGATTCTTTCATGTCTCTGCAGGCCTGTCTTACAGGAAAATCATACATAAATATTTGCATACTAGATGAGTTTGAATTTTTTCTTCAGCATTGTTCACATTTGATTTCTAAGTTAAAAAATTAAGAGTGCCAAAAGAAACTATCAAGAGAGTAAATAGACCACTTACAAAATTGGAGAAGATTTTTGCAAACTATGCATCTGACAAAGGTGTAATATCCAGCATCTATAAGGAACTTAAACAAATTTACACAAATGAAACAAACAACCACAATAAAAATTGGGCAAAGGACATAGGATGTGAACGGACACGTCTCAAGAGGAGACAAACATGCAGCCAACAAACATGAACACAAGCTCAACATCACTGACATTAGAGAAACGCAACTCAAAACCACAGTGAGATACCATCTCAGGCCCGTCAGAATGGCTGCGATTGAAAAGTCAAAAAAATGACAGATGCTGGCAAGGTTGTAGAGGGGAGTGAACACTTATACATGGTTGGTGGGAGCATAGATTAGATCAGCCATTGTGAAAACCAGTGTAGTGATTCCTCAAAGACCTAAAGTCAGAAATACTATTCGACCTGGCAATCCCAGTACTGGATATACACCCAAAGGAATATAAATTTTTATTTTACAAAGACACGTGCATGTGTATGTTCATTGCAGCAGTATTCACAATGGCAAGGACATGAAATCAACCCAAATGCCCATCAGCGATAGACTGGATATAGAGCATGTGGTGCCTGTACACCATGGAATACTATCTGGCCATAAAAAAGACCATGTGCTTTGCAGGAATATGGATGGCAATAGTGGCCATTATCCTTAGCAAACTAACACAGGCACAGAAAACCAGTTACTGTATGTTCTCACTTATAAGTGGGAGCTAAATGATGAGAACACATGGCCACATATGGGGTGGAGTGTGGGAAGCGGGAGAGGATCAGGAAAAATAACTAATGGGTACTAGGCTTAATACCTGGGTGATGAAATAATCAATACCTGGGTGATGAAATAATCAGTACAACAAATCTCCATGACACACGTTTACCTCCATAACAAACCTGAACATCCTGAACATGTACCCCCAAACTTGAAAGTTAAAAAAAAAAGTATGCAAATATGTCTTTGATAATTGCACCAGACTTATTTTACAAGGTATAAAACTGTCATTAGGCTAGCGATTCCAAACACTAATTTTCCCAGAGGACCGAAGTTAACTGTCACACCATTCCTTTCATCATCAATCCCATAACAATAACTTGCTGAAAATTTCTTGAACAAAGCTTGACACCTCATCCGAAGCACACACGTAACATCGCTTCTCAGGAAGACCTGCTCCTGCGTTTATTATCTGTGTCTCCTGTAAAGGCCATTTCATTTTTTGATTCTCATTGTCTTGTTTTCTTGAATCCTGTGAGAAAAACTTGTCTGAAATCACGGATGAATGTCTGTTTTCTTGCCTTTCTTTCAGCCGTTGCCTCTTTCTGGAACATCTTTCTCTATCCCACCTAGTTTTCGGCAGTTTAATGATTTCTTACTTATCCTAAATGCACCTGCTCCAGCCACACTGCTCCTTCTGTGACCTCCCTAGATGAAGTTGATGCCCTCCCCTGCATACCCTTTATCATCATAGCTTCTACTGTACAGGTCAAAAAATCACATCATTCAAACTACATTCCCAACTAATAAGGAACTTCTGCTAGATAAAATGCCTAACTTATGTTTTCTTTAATGTTTCTATTATGTTGTGCTTCTTGCAACCTGTATTTGTGCCATTGGTATTTTACAGCCAATTATAAAACACACAATTATAATTTATCTTACTTTCAACTCATCCCTCTGGCTGGTCAAGGTCAGAACTCTGCCTGATTCTATCCATTTGGTTGCATTGATCTCAACATTGTGTCAGCTATAAATCTGATGAGAATATCCTTTATATTCCATTACTAAAATTTGCACTAAACAGAGATGCTCTGTGTCAAGTCACAAGAAAATTCTATTTTCATTGATGTCAACTTCCTGGAGTCTGCAATTCAACAGGTTAAAAATGTGTCTAATGTTCTTACAATATTTATCTGTATTTTGCAGTAAACGCTTGGCTAAAGTAAGAGACACTGATTCTCCTCTACTTCTGATTCAGCAGTCTAGGAATTTACTAGTGAAAGAGAATGGGCCAATTTTATTGTGAGCGAAGCCATAGCAGGACCTCGTGCTCCCTGGCCCTCTTCTCATTAAATTGCATTAAACATTATCCCAAAACATTTCTAGATTTGATGTCATGCTATCATTTTCAGAATCCATCTTCCCTTTGTAATTGGAAAGATAATTGTTTCTGGTTTCCCAGCACATTTTTTATTTTCTAAGCTTCCTGGAAGACTACTAATGAGACAAAATGGAGCTCCTTGTCTTATGAATCAAGGGAGCTCTCTGGTCATGAGACAAGAAGTGGACAGATAGTAAGATGTTCCCCTAGATCCCTGCCTCCTGGTACTCATGCCCTTGGGTAAAACTCTCTTCTTGAGTGTGGCTGGTACTTGTGTCTTTTTTATTTTGAGATGGAATCTCCCTCTGTCACCCAGGCATGGTCTTGGCTCACTACTACCTTCAGCTCCCGGGTTCAAGTGATTCTCCTGCCTCAGCCTCTCAAGTAGCTGGGATTACAGGTGCCTGCCACCAAGCCCAGATAATTTTTGTATTTTCATTAAAGACGGGATTTCACCATGTTGTCCAGGCTGGTCTTGAACTCCTGACCTCAGGTGATTCACCTGCCTTGGCCTCCCAAAGTACTGGGATTACAGGCATGAGCCACCATGGCTAGTCCGTGGGATCTTTATTCTAACCAATAGAATACTGTAAGGCAAAAAAAAAAAAAAAAACTATTTCCATCATTACGAAATACAAGATTGTCACTTCCGTCATGCTAGCCAATTCTGCAGTCTTCTCAGCTTGCAGGCTTTGATAAAATGAGTGGCCTTGTTGGAGAGGCACACATGGAGAGGAGCTGAGCTTGGCCTCAGTCCACCAGCCATCTAAAAACGGAGGCCTTAAACTGAGCAAGAACGTTCTCCTCTCAGACCAAGTCTCAGCTCCCAGCACCACCCTTTTAGCTGCACTGAAGGCAATCCTGGCAGGTTTTCTCAGCAGAGACCACCAGAGAGGATGATGAGGGATACAGAATTTCTTCTTTCCCACACCAAGCAAGTTACTTATCGGAGGAATAAAGGATGTTTGAGCCCTTCCATATCAAGTATCATCTGACAAAAGGGAGTATTTGTTTTAAAAACATTTTACTGGGCAGAAAAAAAGTAATTATTTACAGCAAAAGCACAAAGAGTTGGATAGAACCCCAAAATTCTGACAGGACATTTAATCAAATAGAGCAGAGTTCAGTAAGGACTCTGCGGTTCATGAGGAAAGGGTAACCCAGGATTATGGGAGAAATGTTAACACTGCATGGAGATAAAACACTGAACACTTCACTATGGTTTGAATGTGTCCCCCAAAGTCCACGTGTTGAAAATAGAATCCCCAATGCAACAGTGTAGAGATGTGTCCTCTAAGAGGTCACTCGGTCATAAGGGCCCTGCTCTCATGGATCACTGACCTCATTATCGCAGGAATGCGTCCATGATCCTGAGAGTGGGTTTACTGCAAAAGCCATTTCAGCCCTCTCTTGTCACTCATCCTCTTACCCTGTTTTCTCACCCCCACCTTCTGCCATGGGATGACACAGCACAAATGTCCTCACCAGATGAGGGCCCCATGATCTGGGACTTTCAAACCTCCAAGACTGAGCCAAACAACTTTGTGTTTTTTATGAGTCACTCAGTCTCAACTATCCTGTTACAGCAACAGAAAACAGCCTAAGACACACCCATATAATCCTCCCTGAATAAGTGGGATTGTGTGGTGAAGCCACAGAGAAATGACTCAGAGGGGAAACACCTCACCCCTCCTTTACCACCCTACACAGGCAGGGAGCCGAAAAGATTGCCTTTCAGCGTTCATCTAATCCCAGTCATGGGGTGTATCTTTCCCTAGGCTACAGCAGAGCAGGGGAGGGAGGAGGAGGGACGCTGAGCACAGGAGAGTCAGTCAGGCTTGACCCTGGCCCCAAGTCCTCAATGGGGTATCAGTGAAATACCACCTCCTGTAGTTCAGGCTGATGGCGTGGGAACACTGTGTTATGGAAGTGTCAGTGTTCACTGAGGTAGATAACTAGAACACATGAAAACTTATCTGTTCCTGGGATAATTCTTCAATCTCATTAAGGCTTCTTAAGCAGTCACAAGATTGAAGCCACTTTGCCAGAGGTTAGGATTAATAGGTGGGGCTAGATAGCCTACCTATAGTTCAGTCCTAGAAATATTTACTGAGTATCTTTTACATGGAAATCGGTGTTCCTAGTATTTTTTTTAAGTCAGGCATGTACAAATAAGTCCATTAGTTCCACATGGGCTTTTGTGAGGCTATATCTTCACATCTTTCCCTGGGCTGGGACTAAAACAAGAGCCTTTTGTGAAACAAGGACGTGGGAGTGATGGTATTAGGGCAACTGCATCGTGACGGAAGAACACCCGAGACTGGGTAACTGACAAAGAAAGGGGTTCACTTGGCCCTTGGTCTGCAGGCTGGACATGAAGCATGGTGCTGGCATCTGCCTCTGGGGAGGGCCACAGTGAGCTTACAGTGCTGGCAGAAGTAAGGGGGGAGCCCATGTCTCACACCACGTGAGTGGGAACAAGAGAGCGAGGGGGCAGGTGCCACACACTTTACACAACCGGGTCTCCCAGGAACTCACAGCGAGAACTAACTCATCACAAGGGGATGGCGCTGAGCCATTCATGACAGATTCACTCCCTGATCCAGTCACCTCCCCCCAGGCCCTGCCTCCAGCACTGGGGATTACATCTTGGCATGGGATTTGGAGTGTACAAATATCCAAACCGTATCAGTAGCTATTGCTGAATTTGGAAACCCCGGTCCCAGGGATAAACACCTTCCCAAACTGTGGCCTAGAAG